GACAAATATTTACCTATACGGACTTTACTATACATTTCGTTTAAAGACATTTTAATCAGCCTAACTAATTTCATAGGTGCATCAGACTCTGTGAGAATATTGTACAATACTTCCCTCCTACCTGAATTATAGGCTTTCTTTAAATCTACAAATATCTGATATACTGTGTCATTGTACTCCCATTTTTTATCAAGTACCTGACGAATGCAAATCTGATCAGTATTTATTCTGTTGCGTCGAAACCCACACTGATGACCCCCAGTCTATGTATGGACTTTACCTTGAGACACTGGATAAAGTTTTATATGAAGCTGATATTTGTTAGTGTTATTTCATTTATCTGAGTACTGGGGTATAAAAAATAAGTCAACTAACAGAGCAGAACTGAAAATAAAACGAGTTATGAAAGAGAAGAAATAATGCAGAAAGGTACAATAAGAACTATATATTACACGAGTTGAATTTCCAGACGAACAAAACACTGACTAAAATTATTCAGACTATAGAGACACTGGACGCCTAAATTAAATAATTAATTAATACAATGGTTGAAAATGCCAGTGAACGAAATAGATTTTTTTTTTTTTGGCTGTGGTGTTCTGTGTTTTGACACCGTACAGCTTAATATGTTGTTACTAACGTTTCGGAGGAATTAGCTGCCCACGATTTTAGGCTAAAATTTCATAAACTATGTATTTACCGCAATTGAACATTATCAACAGACAGATTATGAAGGAAAACGATATTATAAAATAAAACAAGTTTTGAAGTAAAAGTGGCTGCCCTAGTTTTCATCATAATGACAGCGATGAATCTTCAAGTTTCTTAACATTTGATGTTCAACTCTATTTAAATGAAGAGGAATGCATATAGGATATTGGTGGGAAAGCCACAGGGAAAGAGACCGCTGGGAAGACCAAGTCGTAGGTGGGTGGACGATATTAAAATGGATCTTAGAGAGATTGGATGGGATGTTATGGATTGGATTGTTCTGGCTCAGGATAGGGACCAATGGAGGGCTCTTGTGAATACGGTAATGAACTTTCAGGTTCCATAAAATGCTGGGAAAATCTTGAGTAGCTGCAGAATTGGCGACTCCTCTAGAAGAGCTCAGCTCCATGAGGAAGATAGTCTTTAAATAATGTATTTGTTTATCTATAGGCCTATCATTTCATTGTTGTTATTTTAATTGTTTCAATCCACAGTCTTTAAAAATATTTAATTGAAGAGTACAGTCTCCTGGGTTGTATTGTCATGAAGTTTGGAAAAATCCCAACGTTTCTGAGAAATGTATCTGTCTTCAGAATATAAGAGTATGCCAAGAAAGAAACTATCAAGAAGTAGATGACAAGCAGAACTTTTGTCAGATTATGCAGGTTCAGATCTCAGGAGAGCTCTTTTTGTTATTCACTTCTTGTTTGCTCCTTCACTCGTCTACTCTTCGACGCAGGGGATAGTCATCTGCAGGGCTGTTACTGGAATACGAGTACACGTCAATACAGCCCAGAAAACCATACACTTCTTAGTCAATGCTGTGGGAACCTCTGACCCAGCAAATAATAACTTTTTACTTATATTACTTCCAGGTTAATGATACACTGAAATTCATTGTGACCCTAGAAGATGAAGTGGGTGATGGACTTCCGAACAACCTGGTACAAATCCCTGTTACTGCCATCGTTCTGGACGAAAATGACAATGCACCGATCTTCAAAGATGTAAGTCTTATATTTGATCCGTAAGACAGGAGCCTCAAGTCGTCAGGCATAGCTTATAACTGTTATTGTCTTTCTATAAAGGTTTTTTTGTAGCTTTTCAGACGAGTAGACTACTGCAAAACAAATTGTTTAAGATAAATAAGATATACAAAAGTATATAAGGTATGCCGTCTACACAACAATACCTTATATACATTTGTATAACAGGATGCACATTATTAAAATTGTTTAAGAATTTCTCTCAAACAGGATGTTTGTGTTCGTCTATGATGTAATATCAGCCAATAAATCAATGAATTTCTGTATCTTTTTTCATTAATTTCAGATTACGAACTCTCACTAAATGAAATCAAAAGTAATTCTNTTCACAATTACAATCAGTTATAGCGCACTTCACTAAGACATGCTTCATTCTCGTCCTTGTACTCACAGGTACTGAACTCTAAACGTCCTTCGTTGTCCCCTATAACTCGTCGGCACGGACCACACACAGAAAATACAGTTCTACTGTTGCGTAGTGCAGACCACTCAGAAAACACAAGTCACGTTATAGTTAAGATGTCATTGCGCCTTCTCGCAAGTGTGTTTACGGAGCTGTTGCCTAGAAGTGGATTGCATAACCCCATTGTGCCATTGTTGCGTGCATATATTACTTAGAAATGGCTGTCTCTGTGACTCAACCTTTCTTGCACGTAGCAAATGTGCCACAATATAAACGGTATCTCGTTAAATATCGTTCACCATAGAAGTTACCCAAGGTCTTTGTAGAGTGCCTAGCACTCCATCTTCGTATTTGGGAAGTACAGATTTAGATCGCTGGTCTCCACATAGCCTTTCATGATTCTTTTTTGTTTTCCCATCCCCTCTAGGCAGATGCTGGGATAGTACCTCAAATTAGACCACAACTCCTTCCTTTCACAAAGTCATGAGTTGACATGTGTAAAGACGTCACTGTTATATCCTCTGTAGTGCAGCAGTATATAAATAATAATTCCTCCAACATTTCCACACCATAAAAATCAAATAGCAAAGCCATAGGACTTAATGTACAGAATAAAACTAATGATTCTTCATTGACCCTTGGCTTATTTAATGGTACTTTGTCAACTGCTTGGGCATGCAGTAGCGTAGTTGGTTGAGTCAGTATGCTACAAGCCGGAAGGTCGTGGGTTCGATTACCGTTGAGGTCATTGGATTTTTCAGTTTACCTAATCCTTCCAGCCGCACTATGGTTATGGGGTCGACTCGGCCTCTAACAGAAATGAGTACCAGAAATTTTCCTGGAAGCAAAGGGCGGCCGGCGCGTAAGCTGACAACCTCACTGCCATCTGTGAGCCGGTCATCTACAAAATGTTGGAGCCTCGACGTCTCACAATCCTATGGGTCTTCAAGGCCCGTTATAAGGATAGTTTTACTTTATTTTGTCAGCTGCTTAGATTATGGTTTAAGCGTCTGACAGTAGGATGTGGAGGGAAGCAGACATAACCCATTTTAAGGAATTTGGCTGGAGGAAGAAGAGTTGGTTTATGGCCAAGATTGAATCTTACCATTGAAGTGTAGTCCAGCAGAGTGACAGGAAATGGGCACACTGTATTAGTCTTAAATTAAGATACATCGGAACTAATGAGGGAAACAAGGCCTTTCTGAAAAAGACGCAAATTTTTGCAAGAAATGGAAACTTGGAGCAAGGAGACCAGAAGGGAAAAAGCCTTGTAGAAGATAAAGAAGAAATTTCTAAATATGGCGCTGGAATTTTAGATACTCTACTCGACAGTAACTAACATATGAGGAGAATGGAAATTATCACAGTAATTATTTGTACTGCAGTGACATTGACAATGATGATGATATCAACAATGTCAGAAAAAAAGTCGTCACATTGTCGCTTGTTGTGAAATCTTACAAAATGCCCTGAACTTAAACAGATCATCAATCCAACTTGGTACTTATCTGATGTATGTATGGTTTGTTTCTTTATATCTTTCTGAAGCTGAATGCTCAGAACTACATGTGCACTTTGTGGTCCATCTGCTTACGCACTAGTTTAGGAAGACATATGGGAGAGTTCAGGTAACGTTCCACACATTTTAATCTTGGCGCTAGGTGGAGAAGAGTGGTCAGTTCATACTCTGGCTATATTTTCTCCAGGGATGGAGTCCCTGGTACGCATTGGTGAACAAAATGGGTAGGTCCCAGATGTGGTGGTGGTAAGGAGAAATATTTTCACCCTGGTAAGGAATTGAGCCTGTAATGAGTCACTTTACTCACATAGTTATACTTGGTTACTAGCTAAGGATTTTCAGTTTTAAAATTTTGACAAAGACTTCATGTATAAATTTACGCAGTTAAATAATTTCAAGACACAATAAGGATCCTTATTTGAAGAATTAGATGATAATTAATTGCAATTCAACAGCTCAAACTGGAACATTGTATGCCTGATGATGACCCGGTGTAAGGGTCGAAACATGTTGCGTCTGTAAAAACATAAAAGCAAATGCTGATACGGTAGTGTCTTCTTTGTTTTTTAAAAACAGAATATTGTTGTGTAGACTGTGTACCTTATATACTTCTGTATATCTTATTTGTGACACACAACAGGATGCACACTACTCATATTAATATAGTTATACTTGTTCATAAGAGTATTATGCTGTCATTTAATTTTGTTAATTTGTGTATTCTAGGTTCCATATGAGATTGAGGTACCTGAAGACACATCACCTGGCACCACCCTTTTCCAGGGAATTAAAGCTGAAGATCCAGATATCATAGGAGATATTCTGGATGTTAACTGTACAGATCGCCCGCAGGTTGGTAGATGAATATTAACTGATTCTGAAAGTGCTTAAAATTAATTTCTAAAACGTAGGTTGAGAAGCATCCAACATGATAAATATTACTGATTTTAGGCTTTCACAGTGACTCTCTGCTGATGTTAATTTTCTCTTTGGTCTTTGGATATTATGAGTACTCTGAAATTTCAGATGTACATGTTACCTCCATCTGCATGGTCGAAGATGCTTTTTGTTTTGCTGGAAAACTTTCCATTATCATGTTGCCACATTTCATTATACAAGAAAATAAATTATTTATAATTTTCCTGTGTCTAAGTCCCATGCCCAGACCTGAGTTGCCTATAGACTGACTAGACTATATGCTGGATGACCAGGGTTCAAATCCTTTCCGTTGCAGAGGGTTTTCTCTTTTACCCTAGATCCTGACCATCTCAGTGGCCCTTTCACCCTCCTATCTAGTGGTTACTGGAATAAAGGCTTGAAGCTGACCAGCGACCTCTATCTAATGCAGAGTTTAATAATGCATTAAGTTATTCCCCTTACTTTTGCATAGTAATTAATTAAACATAATGTCATGAAAGATTGTAGAATTGAGGTATAATTATCTGCTCCCCTAAGAGGGATCAATTTGTGTGGTGCTACATTCTTTTAATCTTATTTTATGTATTACTATTGAATTTTTAACAGCTTACACATACTAAGTTGTGGCTTCAGTTTCAAAACCCTTTCTTTCCTTGTTTTCTGGGATATAACACCTCATAGTCCAGTGAAAGTCAACTGACATTTTAGGGGAACAACATACCGCCTCCATCATGAAGATCAGAAACAGTTAGAAAGCAACATGAAGTAGGCATCAAGCAGAAGTTCATCAAACTACATAGTGTTATATACCAAAAGGCAGACCTCTTCATAGTCACTGCTGTTAGAACCTCAAGTCTATTTTTCTCTCTCTCTCTGTTAACCATTAGATGATGTGGAAAATTCTGCTATGTGGATTCTTTTGATTTCTCTAAGTTACTGGTTTTTCATTACATGCAATTTGTATGTTTGCATATGTACATGTGTGCGGACACATTTATGAACATTGAGAGCTTGTGCTGTATGCTAAATGTTTTATTTTCAGCACATACTATATCTTACCTTGTGATGTACACTTCTAAATTTAGATTTTCTAGAATAGGTCTGATAGTTCTTGCACAAATTTTTATGATGTAAGAAGCTTTAAGTGACCATGCAATAGCTCAGGTGGTTAGTTTCGGACTGCACACTGTGGGAGCATGAGTTCAGACTCAACATATTACATGCAGGATTTGTGGTGAACAAAGTGGCCCTGGCACAGTTTTCCCTTGCCAGTTATTACATCATCAGAGGCTGGTAAAAAGAGTTCTATTTGAGGCCACAGCATCAAGATACTCAGTATCACTCCACTCATACAAGAAATAAACTGGTAAGGTTTATTATGCTTGTAATGTTATGTTTCAGTTTCCAGATGCTTGCAGTAAATTTAAAGTGGAGAAGCTACATTCCAGTGAAGATAAATTCTTGGGGGCCTTGATTCTGCAGCAAAAACTGGATTATTCAATCAGACCTTTCTACCAACTGCTGCTTAGTGCCAGTGTTAGTAATTATATTCATATGTAATTGTAATTATATCAGCTTGAATTAATGATATACAGACTTTAAAAAAATGTACCTGCACCCTTTCCCTTAAATAACTTTTAACTACATCTCTTTCACTTCATTTTCATACATTAACATTAACAGCGATAATACTAATAACAGAATTATCTCTGAACATATGATAGTTACTTAGATCATCATTAACTTTCCTCTAATGGAATCCAGAATTTTATTCCTGTTATTACTATAGTTCATGATTCAACACTATCCAGACATTGTTCAAACTAATTAACATTTTTTTATAACCTGTTTTTTTAGGATAAGGTTTTGTATTATCCTATCAAGCACTTTGGTGCGATTGTAATACACAAGTTTGCGTTTGAATTGAATTGAATTTATTTACATTCTATAAATCCTAAGCAGGTTAGTACCTTTGGATACAGAACAAGTCAAAAGGTTACATACATAAGTACAGGCAATTTTAGCTTAAAAATTAATATAACTTAATTTTACATCATTCTCTATTTACATTGAAGTATTCATCTAAAGAGTAGAAGGAATGAGCATGTAGATAATTCTTTAACTCTGATTTAAACTTTTTAGTATCATTGCCCAAGTTTTTTATACTTTGTGGCAGATTGTTGAAGACTTTTATGGGAGTCATCTTGTTTGAATATTAGCCAGGTTACCTGCTATCCTGGTCTAGATTTTGTATGATTTTCCTCAGAATCCCCAGGAAAATTCTCCAACATAGTAACTGTAAATAGGTTTAAGACTGACTGACTCAGTAACCTGTTGGCCCTTGTGAAATTTATGGTGGAAAGAGTCACACTGGGTCACATCTTTCTGCAATCAGTTCAGTTTTCCCTTGCCTGTTGTCATTTTACCAGTGTTTTGCACTCATCTGTCAACAGGTGGGCCCATTTGAGGCTCTAGTACTAAAGCAGTCAGTCTCACCCCACTCCAGCAACTAATTAACCAGTTATTTGGTTAGTTAGGGAGTTAGTTAAGTTCTCAGTCACCTATAGGAGAATGCCAGGATAATAATTTCAAATACCTCAAATCTCCTCCCCCTTCTCAGGCCTTACAAGCTCACTGAATGTGATTAACCTTTAATATTATCTGAAACAAAATATTCTCTGTAGTTGACAAAGTTGTGTTAAACAGTCAGTGTTTCATGCATTATCATCTTCAATACTATTATGACTGCAGGATGGTAAGCACAACAGCAGCACAGGGGTTCAGATCAAAGTGCAAGATGTACAGAATTCCCCGCCAGTGTTTGAAGGTTCACTAACAGGTGTTGTCAGGGAAGACGCGGACATTGGTACTTCAGTAATGACTATCAAAGCTCATGACGGTGATAAAGAACATCCAAGGAAGATTGTGTATGAGCTTGTTGAAAGTGAGTTATTTGTAGGATATGTAATTATATGTACATGTTTTGTGTTATTTGTACAAAGTGTGTTAAATGAATGCTTATGGGGAGGTTGTGTTTCATCTCCATGAACATGCTTTGATGGAAATTAGTACTGGAATCAGGTTTGCAGTGAAACTTGCCAAACAAATTTAATTTGGAAGTGTATTTTTCTTTTATCATCCGTACTTTGTATTGAGTTGAAATCAAACCATACTCTCTTCTTGCTGGTTGCTTGCTTGGTTCACTCTTTGACATTGAAGGTATAAGTATTACGTTCCTCTGTAACATTGGTGAATTTCTGCTGGACTGTATGGTCTCTCATTCCAGAAGAAAGCACTTTTAAAACTAATTAGATTTCTCAGTATTGATTTATGTTATGAAAAAGAGTATATAACGAAATGTAGGGGTGGAGACCTATAGCATTTATTTGAAACAGTTTATTTTCATTTCATTTTCATTTCATTTATTTACATGTCAAAAATCCTTTNGAACAGTTTAATATGATTATTACCTGTGTTAATAAAATAAAGTTTATCATCATCATTGTCTTCATTGTCATCAGTATCACCATTGTCGATTTTTAAATTGGTGATCTAATTATTATACATTTTTTTGCATGATGTGTGTAAACTGAAAGCATATAAGGGAGAATGTGTCTGTCCATCTGCATGTCTGAAATTAAGAACTGCATTTTGATTAAATTTAAAATTAGAGGTCCTCTCAATTCATAAAAATTGATGTGATATACCATAAGTATGCTTTCATGTGGAAGTACTGTTATCATCTTCAAGAAAGTTATTTGGAAAAAACTAGAAGCATTCAGGATACCAAATTGTAAATAATGCAAGTGCAAACTATTTTATTGTAGTAAGGAATATGGTTTTCCAGTCTTATTGTATCCTTACAAGACAGTACACATCAAGTTGATTCTAAAGGATTCTAAAGATGTTGTATGACACACAGAATTACTGGGTTTTACTATTTTGTCCATTACCTGGTATATCAATAACTAGAGAACACAACATGTACTCCTGTGATTTCTAAGGCACCTAACATACTAGATGTCTCCTCCCTCAGCTGAGGATGGAAACAGACCCAGTTTCCAAAACGTTGTGTTTCTAGTTTATAGAATACTGAACAATGAACAAAGTCCAGAAACCCAGTAATTCTGAATACATATCAGCTTTTGTTTCTTTTCTGCAGATTATATGGATTATTTTCTACTTGACCCGAAAACAGGAGAACTTAGGACTGCCAAACCACTTGATAAAGAAGCTTTAGATGATTCAACAGGAGTCATAAATATTACTGTGAGGGTAGGTATTATAATATGACCCATCTTGGCAAATTACAGAACCATTTTTGCACGAGACATTGCATTATGATAAAGGCAGAGGTAAAGTTGTCCCTGTGCTTAATTAATCTCCATGGCATGAAGGATAGGGCAGTGGAGTATAGCTCCACACATTCAGTAGAGGTGAGCAGTCAGCTTCAAGTCCAGCCTCTTTGCCTGTGATGTATCAGGTACCAGTTGGGTAGGAAATCAGGGATGTCAAGGCAGGTCTGGTCACAGTGGGAAAGAGAAAGATCTCTGCCCATAAGAACTTATTTACATGGCCCAGAAGTATTCTTTAATTTCATCAATATAAACATTGCTGCTTTCTAGAAAGAGAACAAGGATTTGGGGTCTGTTATAGATTTTTGTTGTATATACCCCCTTATAGTGCAAAGGTGTCACTCACTCACTCACTCACTCACTCACTCCCTCCCTCCCACCCTCCTTGGCTGAGATCCTCAAGGAACCCCGGTCTCCTTTATGATAGATGCTAATTCTTCTATCTTATTTGCCTCTTTCCTGTAACTCTCACTTCAAGGTCTCTTAAATCATTTTCTACATCATCCACAGATCTCAGTCTGGATCTTCCCTCTCCCTTTCTATCTTCCATTTTACTTTTAATAATTTTCTTAGTCACTCTTACTTGATCCATTCTGCCTGTAAGTCACATTCTCCTTCTAATGTCTCATACCAGATGGGGCATTTTATATAATTCCCTCAGTTCCTGATTTGTTCTAAAGATGGAGGCGGTAAATTCATCCAAAACATCAGTGAACTGCCAACCTACATGGCATCACATCTCAGAAGATAGTGCTCCTGAATAATATTATTTTTGTTACAGTTACAGATGTAAAGATACTTGTCTTTAGTTCTAAATAATTCATTTACTAGTTTTGTTTTATGTTGAAGGCTCATGAAGTTGTTGATGGCACACCTGGCAATGACCCTCTTACTGTTACAACAAAGAAAGGAACTGTTACAATCAAGGATGTAAATGATGAAGCTCCGACCTTCAATAATCGTGAATACAGAATTGTGATTCCCGAAAATGTTCCGGATGGCACACCATTGCCTCACCTTGATATGGTTGTTCATGACCCTGATATTGTAAGTTGACTTAATTTTATGTTTGTAGGTAGCGTAGTTGGTTGAGGCATTATGCTACAAGCTGGTAGAGCACGGGATCAAATCCCAATGAGATCATTGGATTATTTTCAATTTACCTAATCCTTCCAATCGCACTATGGCTCTGGGGTTGACTCAGCCTCTAACAGAAATGAGTACCAGGAATATTCTTGTAATGTTCTCGGGGGTAAAAGGGCGGCCAGCACATATGGCTGACAACCTTACCACCATCTATGAGCCGATTGTCTAGAACACCTCAGAACCCTATGGGCCTCCACGGCCTGTTACAAGGATACCTTTACTGTTACTTTCCTTTTTTTACTAGTAACCTGCAGGATCCACATTACAGGATCTTTGAGTGTCTCTGGCACAGAATTGAGTTCTAGATGAGACAAAGTCATAATGAATTCCTTTCAAATTATAGGAGGATTGAAGCAGAGAGTATGATCACCAACCTCTCGTAATATTTGATACCTTGTATGTATGTATGTATTGTATGTAATGTAATATGATGACATTTTACCATTTTACAGCTAAATTATTTTAAATGCCTGTATCCNTGAGGATTGAAGCAGAGAGTATGATCACCAACCTCTCCTAATATTTGATACCTTGTATGTATGTATGTATGTATTGTATGTAATGTAATATGACGACATTTTACCATTTTACAGCTAAATTATTTTAAATGCCTGTATCCTAGGTTATGGGCCAGGATTCAGCACAAATACATAACAACAGATTGAAATAGACTCATAGACAGACAGACAAACAGATTCGTATAAAGAGTCAAATTTCAGTTCTAAACAAACAATTGAAAACCAAGGGGTTTGGCTCAAGTGATAATGATTCTGACTTTTATGCCACATTGAAATCGTGGGCAGAACACTGACCATCCTGACTGAGCTTCTTCATGATTTTTCTCAGTCTCTTCAGGCAAATGCAAAGATAGTACCTTAAATTAGGCTATGAGTGTTTCCTTCCACATTCTTTCTAATTCATCATTCGCTGTTGTACAATCATCTGATGCTATATTGTGTGCAGTGTAATTAAAGAAACTACAAATAATCAAACAATAAGACCGTTTGAATAACAAATATTGGTAGGGTACTTTTATATTAAAATGTTGGATCCCAAATTGATCTTAATTTTATCAAGTTCAGTGCTGTGGGAGACTCAGTTATGTTGTGACCATTGTTGGTGTTCTGCAAAGGGGCAAAAGTAAGAAATTTATATATATTATTGGGCACTGTCTTCTCATTTCATACCTTGGATCTGTTAATTCATCAGGCAAAGAACTCTTCACTTGTGTTTCAAAGATAGTAATGTCACTTTGTAATAATTTCTATCTTACACCCAATATTTTAATAATTCCTGCATGACTCTGTGTTACTGGGTCTCCAGATAAAATTGTTCACATCAAGCAGCTTTTATTGTTTTTCAAGAGAAGTAAATACTATGAACGTATATTGGTTTTCTGATATGTAGGTCAGATCTGTGCAACTTCAAACCACTGAGGGGTGGTTAAGAAGTTATGAAAAAGATTTTTTTTATTCCAGGTTGCTAGATTGTATTAATATTGAATATGATCATGCAGTAATACTGATTCCATGCTTTATAAGTTATTTATTGTCATGGAATCACTTTAAAAATTACACAGAATATTATTTGTAAGCATTTCTCATAAAGTTTGTTTGATGAGATCCACCACCCTTTTTCAAGACGAGCAAAGCATTAACACTAATTTCAAGAAATGGATGGAAAATCTCACCAACTGCTCAAAACCAACTGACAGGATCCATGTGGTTAACATGCCACAAGTTTGGCAGCCCTGATATTTATTACACTGTGCAGTGTTTGTTGCTTTGTTGAAAATAATGCAAGCTGTGTTGTGGAACACTGGTGAATGCAGAGTATTCATGCAGATACTTGGCATGTGTATTGCAAAAGATGTGAGAAGGTATAGGTTTGTTTGTTAGTGCTGCATTTGTCATTCTAGGGAACCAACTCAGAATTCACGTTGAGGCTTGATGATGTAACAGGAGCATTTGAAGTAGAGCCAACCAGTGCAACAGGATCCACTTCAGTCAGTATCCGTGTGGCCAATGGTTCTTTGGATTATGAAAATCCAAATCAGAGAAAATTCATAATACTTGTGAGTACACATATCCCTTCCTTATGCAAACAGAACAGATGCTTATCTAGAGCAGCAGTCTATTATCGGCATCCCATAATATGCTTTTATAATGTTAGAATCATTGGTCAACCATGTGACTGTTTGCAAACAGCTCCATTTACATCCATAGATCACTATGGTGTGCCATTGATACTGTTGGGAAAGGAACATTAGTTTTACAAATAAATGAGACTAGGCTGCCAACACCAGTCTTATCAAAATATCTTAAGTACGAATAGTTTTGGAGATGAAATATGCACAGGGTTGGACAGATGGTTCCCACTGTACATTTATACATATTGATCATAAAATTGCACAAGTCACAAGCAAATGTGAAATGCAGTAAAGAGGACATAAAGTGAATGCGTGTTACATTTATGAGAACACAGCAAATTGAAACAGTACTGAGAATGAAGTAAATTAAACAGCAGCACATGATGAAAATGCACAGTGACACATCTCACTAGCATAATTTCATGATCACTCTGTATTACGCACCTTATGCAAATACTTCTTCAAGTAGTATTAATTAATGCCTCATTTTTAATTTTTCTGTTCAATTTGATCTTTTATGAAAACAAGGAAGATAAAAACAACTTATTTGATCACTTTGATTATTAAACTGATTATGTGATGTTTATGTGCAGGTCATTGCAGAGGAGAAAAACACGAATCCCCGCTTGTCTTCTACAGCTACAGTAATTGTTAGCATAGCAGATGCTAACGATAATGTTCCTCTATTCCAGCAACAGCAGTATACAGCTTCTGTTTCAGAAATGGCATCACCAGGAACGTTAGTGACAACAATCACAGCCACAGACATGGATAGTGGTCAGTTTGGAGAAAATGGCATTGTATATCAACTTTCTGGAACTGATGCAGATAAGTTAGTGTCATGTATAAATCTTCATTTCATAAACATTTTTGGTCATGTTTTCGCATATATTACAAAACTACAGTGCCTGTGCACAAAACTGCACTGCAATATCAGAATCTATTTCTATCCTTTGTGGTGGCTACATACGTTTAACATCCTGAGGTTTTGGACTCAGGCACACATCATTCTTGTGAAATTCAGGAGTTGATTTCTGTGGGGAAAGCCAAGTAAAGAAAAGTGAATTTCTGCACCACAATGACCTGTCTTTGGAATCATCTTAAAACAAATTAAAATGAAAATACATCATGCCATATTCATTCACTCATAGAACTGAGCCCTTCTTGAGAAGCCGCCAATTGTGTAGCTACTCAAGAACTTCCCAGTATTTTATGGAACCTTAAGGTTCGGTACTGTGTTCACAAGAGCCCTCCACTGGTCCCTATCCTGAGTCACATCGATCCAGTCCATATCATCCCATTCTATGTCTCCAAGATCCATTTTAATATTGTGCACCCACCTATGTCTTGGACTTTCTAGTGGGCTATTTCCTTCTGGCTTTCTAACTAATATCCTTTATGCTTCCTCTTCTCTCCCATTCGTGCTACATGCCCTGCCCATCTTGTCCTCTTTAACTTGATAATTCTAATTATACTTGACGCAGAGTACTAGTTATGAAGCTCCTCATTATGTAGTTTTGTCCAACCTCCTGTCACGTCATCTCTCTTTGATCCAAATATTATCCTCAGCCCCCTGTTCTCAAACACCCTCAGTCTGTGTTCCTACCTTAATGTCAGAGACCAAGTTTTACACCCATACAGAACCACAGGTAAAGTTATACTTGAAGAAAGCATTCTTCTGGGATTTGGCACCGTGTATATGTGGTGATCCCAGAAGACTGCTTTCTTCATAGTCACCGCCGTGAAAGCCTCAAATCTTACAAAGTTATACTTCTTGAAGCCCTTTTAAATTAGGCTACTGAAGAGATAAAAGTAGTTTATATAAGAGACCAAGTTTTATATCAATTCAAAACAGCAGGTAATATTACAATTTGGTGTATGTTCATTTTTATGTTAATGTCTATTACAGCCCATGCCATAGCTCAGGCAGTTAGTTGTCAGCTTCTTACTGCAGGAGCCCAGGTTCACTATCTCAGGGCAGCCTGTGTTTGATTAGAGGTGGGAAGAATGGCATTATGCCCAGTTTTCCTCTGAATACTTGAGTTTTCCCATGCCAAGCATCATTCTACCAGTGCTTGATTCAACCATCTTACCATCATCTGGGGCTCCAAAACTGGACCTACTTGCAGCCTAAGCACTAAGAGACACAGTCTCTCCCCACTGCAAGAATTAAAAATAATAAAAAAAAGGTCTGTTGTAACAATGTCACATTTTTTATAGGTTTTCTGTGAACAACAAGACAGGTGTGATAACTGTTGCTGACTGTCCAACTCCAGGATCTAGAACCTGCCTTGACTTTGAAACAAAACAACACTACTACCTCACTTACAAGGTATGGGGTGTGACACTAATTTGGTGAGCTGACATATGAAAACTGTAATTTCATTGCTTCCTCAAATTCATCAGCCCCATCTAGTGCCAAGGTCAAGAATGATGGAGATATTCCTCCATTCCCCCATATTTCTTCATGGCATAATGCTTAATTATTTAAGCACAGGCAATTTACTTTTACCTTACCTCAAGTTCCTCAGATATCCCTTTAGATGGCATATATAAATGTGTTTCACCATTGCAGAATGTAGAATGTCTATTAATGTTGGAAATATTTACAGTATATACCTTTTGGCCTTATTTCTGCACTTTTCAGGCTACAGATGATGATGGAAAAGGACAGAGTGCAGTGGCATCCCTTATGATATCTGTTGTGGACAGCAATGATAACCCTCCACAGTTCACCAATCAGAATTACCAAATTACAATTGATGAAGGTGCCACAAAATTCGAACCTCCTCTACAAGTCCAGGTATGATCAGACACTGTATGTAATAATGTGGCAAAGTCTGTGTAAAATGGAACCTGGATTAAATAGAATATTATCTTAACCAGAATCCTTTTCTGATCTTGAGAATTTAGATTGAAAACTTGTATAAATATACATCTAGTAAACAGTCTTTTTAATTAGGATATAAAAGTTGGTGACAAGGATATATTTATACAATTAATGTGTCTCTGAACATTACCCATCATCTGTTTTTATTTAAAACACATAATGTTTCAGAGACTGGATTCTGTCTCTGTCTTCAGGTGGAACCTATACAGTTGGATCCAATTAGTAGAGCTATTCACTAGTTAGTTAGTTAGTTAGTTAGTTAGTTAGTTAGTTATTAGAGAGGGTGGGTTTCCCCATGCACTTAGACCTGTAGTGGTCCATTGTGCTTCCCTCTATGATTTCTACCAGCCTCTATATCCTACCGGTATTGGTGCTTACCATCAGTCCCGCCCAGCCAGCGAGACCGGCTCTCTACTGGCTGAGAAGTATCTATAATGCTCCCCCCATCTACCGGAGGTATTAGTGACTGCTGTTGGGTGGCAAACGTCCGCAATTTTGGCTCAGTGACCTCCGTTGGAGGTATGAGGTTCTTTTACGTGCCGTAAAGCTACGACATGGGATCCACGGCTTAAAGTCCCTCCCGGAGGACTTGTTCCCTGAATTTTTCCCCCCTTAAAAATTCGACGACCTGCGCCGAGTATTTGAACCCGCGTACTACGAGTCATGAGGTGGGAATGTTACCTCTAGACTGTGGAGGCTGCTGAGCTATTCACTATCTCTGAACCTTAAAATAAAATAAAAAGAAAGTGCCATAACTGAATTCCTAGTTATTGTGACATGCTGCGCAACGAAGGACCCCTACCTCCCCAGCGGCACGTAGCGGCAACGTAGCGCTCGCGTAATAGATGAGTCATCACCCTGCCACTCTCCCCGCGGTGACGTCACGAGCGGAGCCGAAGTTAGCCGAGCCCCCGCAACCTGGTAGCTATGCAACACGAGTCAACAGCGGTGACGTAACAGGATGACGTGGCACTCATTACGCAACAGGCAAGCACTGCGACTATATAAGTGAGCTGCACAAAGGCTGCGAGTCAGTTGTACTGTGGCAGTCGCAGAGATCAGTAGTAGTCGAGCGAGAGCGTGTTATCAACAGTTTTCAAGGTAGCAGCCTGCGAGTGTGCGATAACTAAGAAGTCAGCGAGCGGAAGACTTATTGTGTGCTTTTGAGACTTAGTGAGTGCTGTAGTACAGTTATATCTGGAGTGTGTAATTCAGGGAGATTTGTATAGCTCCCGTGTTATTAGTATGTGAAGACTTTGATTGGAGGGTTTGTAAAGTGTGGAAACCCGCAACGGTGTTATAATTAATTGTAGCCGTTTCTTGTAGATTGTTGAATAAACCAATTAACGATCTCTATGGCGTATTCAGTAACGAAACACGTTACATTATGTTAGATGTCAAATGTTTTAATTTTTCTGACATAAATCGAATCCTCCAAAAGACCTCTTATTCAGGGTGGGGGGATGTTTGGACTTTGCAGATTCAGCTGCAGATACCATGTCCAAATTAAACACTCTATTTGTTACTACAAAATTAAACCCTCTCTTAAGCACCGATTCTTCTGAATCTGCGAGAACAAGCTCTGATAAACTGAGGACAAATTTCTTAGATCCACTAATAGCTTTCAGGATCACGGTGGTCTGGTGAAGATCTTTTAATATAATTTTAATATGGAAATGGAAGGGAAGAACTAGCATTTAACCCCCTACTCAAATGTTTCTTGTGGGATTTGAGTTTCTCACAGTGATGACTATGAAGATTACATGAATGACATGCATTTTGCAGGTCATTCAAATCCACATTAAAATTGTTATTGTTGGAATCTTGATGTATATATTTTGATCCTTTCAGGCACGGGATGCAGATAAAACTTCTCACATCACATACTCAATAATTGAAGGAAATGTCAACAATTTATTCTCAATAAATCCACAATCTGGAGAAATCACGGTGTCAAATCATCATGGCCTTGACATGACAAATGTCCCTAATGATGTCATAGTCTTAACTCTTCAGGTACTTCTTACTATGCATGTTTGTTTTAGCAGTAATGCTGTAACTTTATGTAGTTGGTACTCCTATATGGTTCAAATTTCAGTTTGATCACCAGCTATGATCGAGGTTTTTCGAGTGGAAGGGGGTGTGTTCTCAGTCTCTTAAAGCAAGTAAAAAGGGCAGTACTGTAGTGGAGTGATAACCACTTCTTTCTAAATCTGTACACATTCACAATTCATGATCATCAACCCGTCTCAGTTGAATATGCATAACTTATGCAGTTGAAACAGTGTCATTAGGTAACCTAAAATTAAGTAACTCAGTGAAGCGGAGTAGTCGGTGACAAATGATAATTATTTATCTGGTAAATAAATTGGCTACATTTTATAGAAACCAAAAGTTCTTTACATTATTCACAAGAGTGTGCATCTGTGCCTATTCTGGACCATTTGAATCCATTCCATAATCTCATACTTTATTTTTTAATATCAATTTTAATAATATTCTTCCATGTGTATCTAGGACTGCTCTTTCTCTCAGGTTTTCTCTTTAAGTTCTGTGTTATTTTCTGCCTTCCCCATATGTGCTACATATTCCACCCATCCCCTCCTCCCTAATTTGATAATCTTGATAGTATTTTACAAGAAATAAAAATCAGTAAATATGCGAGTTTCCCAAATTTTGCCATGTAGTAATTTTGTTGGAGTGGAACTAACCGTGAACGAAGTGAATCATACAGAACCCTGATCTGACAGTGGATATTGAAAGAAGGCTGGAATAGTTGGGGCATACAATTAGAGTGAATCATAAATGGGTAGTTGAGGAATTTTTTTCAAGTAAGCCAGAAGGGAGGAAAGAAGGCCAAGAATGAGATGAGTGGAAGATGTTGAGAATGATATATGAGAGCTGAAGATGAAGAGATGTAGAAAAAGGCAAATACTAGAAAAGAATACTTATGTCTTAAAGGAGGTCAAAGTTTATGGAGGATTGTAAAATATAGAAGTAGGTAAGTAATTTTGTTCTATAGTAAAAGTAAGAAAGTGAATGTTGAACAGTGTGCAATTCTTACTGGCAGCCTAAATTTCAAAAGGCTCTCTGTCATCATCTTGTAATTTGCAGGCAAGTGATGGGATGTTCAGTAGCGTAGCAACAGTGACCATATCTGTGCATGATGTGAATAACAACCATCCTGTCTTTGGAAGAGAAAGCTATGTAGTATCAGTACAGGAAGATACTGCTATAGGTAAGAATTCTTTATATACAAATACAACCTTTCACACTTCCTTCTCAGTTATAATTATTTTTGATTTATGGGAAAATGAAATAAAGAAAGAAAGAAGGAAAGATAATTTGTTTTAATGTGTAAATTTATAATGCATTTAATTCAGTTAATTTAGGTAATTTAAATGAAATTGTATTAATTTTAAGTTTTATAGTAATGTTCTTTTTAAATTATGTTTTTTAATTAAAATTGTATTAAGTTTCTTATTTTTTATTTTTATTTTATTATATATGTTAATTGACTAATGTATGTGATTTTAATTATGTAACTCATGTAATTTATTATACGTATCTGGACACACATATTATCAAAGGGACTATTCCACATCCTAGGTTTTTACCTGTATGGATATATGGAAAATAAAGGAAATGAATGAATAATAATTGATAGGGTAGAACCGAAGTACTCAGAAAATAAATTGCCCCAGCGCCACTTTGCCCACCACAAATACCACATGGACTACAGATGACTGAACCTGGACCTCTGTGACTAATTGTTTGAGCTATGACACGGCCATTACTGTGTTCATACTTGTTACTTTTTATTATGTACATTGTTCCAGGCTGTCAAATATTGTGGAGTAATACAGAAGAACATTACAAATATTTAAAATATTGTTTGACAAATTGATTATTATTTATGATATTTATAATTATGATACTGTTAAACTGAAAATTTTTATTGTGATGTGATCAACAAATTTAATTTTTGTTTCTTCCTCCCATGAACTGGATTGTTTTACAGAGATGAGTATTAGCATATTTTTACATAGGGGTTGTATTGGGAATATGAACAACAGAAAGTTCGGCTAACTTGACGTTTGTTTTATTGTTAGTTCCTTATATGTAACAGGTGTTTAATGTATCTAAAGTTGTTATTTTGAAACACAATATAATGATACCAAACTGAAGAAACTGTGTTCTGTATAATTTCTTCTTAATTTATTGAATGTTAATTGTATTATTATTTACTGATATTTTTTTTTTTTGCAGGCACAAGTGTAGAACAGGTTATAGCAACAGATGCAGACTCTGGTATGAATGCAAAAATTAAATATAGAATTCAAAAAGGAGGATTTGAGGACTTTAACATAGATGAGGAAACTGGAGTGGTTGCGATAGCCAATAGGTTAGACTTTGACCGCAGGAACACATATAATATGGAGGTCATCGCTGTTGATGGAGGTAGGGGACTACAAATTTCCTACTTCATTTATGTTCTGTTTTTTTTTCTCAGGCATGTTAGATCATAGGTATAAGATCAGCTAGTGAAATATTTGGTTTATTTAATAACAGTAACCAAGTTAGTTCTAGAAGGCTCTGATGATAGTGTAATGCTTTAATAATTACTGAGTTTCTGAACTTTTTCCAGTGTCTAGTATTCTGAAAGGACACAATGTTTTGGAAATTAACTGTTTCTATCCTCAGAAGGAAAGGAGGAAGGGAGACACCTACTTACTTTGGTTCATTAGGAACAGTCTCTAGTGTTTTGATTAGCATATTTCAATGGACCCAACCAAATAAGTGTCTCCATATCCTTCAACCCAAGGACAGAAGCATAACCAGTTTCAAAAACAGTGTGTTGTTTTAAGATACTAAACTTTGGGCAAAGTCCAGTATAAGTCCTAAATAACCAAACTACATTTAGCCCTGTCCCAGTTTAATCATACAGTGTAACCCAAGACATGATTCCACTATTGCACACAAATGTATGTATTTTATGTTATATTGTGTGTTAAGACAAATTTGGACACTGGAAATGGTATGAGGAAGAAACACTTCCCTCACATATACTGTGAAATGTATTAAAGCATCAAGAACTGTGTTAACCCTCAAACAAATGTCTTTAGAAGGTAGACAGAAACATGAATGATTTTGAGCAGAAAAGCTGGAGCAAGAATTTAGGTAGGAATATTTTCAGGTGTCTCAGTCAGGACAGTTTTCTTTTGCTATACAATTAAATGATAAAAGTTGCTTCTATTTCAGTATGAGAATATTTTGTTACTTAATTTATAAGACTGTTCTTCTAGACTTTATCTCAGTTTTATTTAAAACAAAATATGTTCTGTTTGCTTTAAGAGGTGAACATGATAAAACACAGGACAACCCGAAGTGTTCAGTCCCTAGGCAGAGCTATTCTCAGCCATGTTCAATTCTGTTAACACATTTCCTTGGTTCTGATGATTACTGGGATTATCTTTCCTTCTATGCTGTCTGGATGTCTGAATGTCAGTGATTGTTCTTGTCTTACATACTGTAGAGGCACAAAACAATATAATTTATGTGCAAACAGTTCATGCATTCCAGCAAACTTCTCAAAAGACAGAATGTTGGACATCGGCTGGTTCATTGTGTGGTTTGATCATGAGGCAAAAACTGAGCTTGAGTATACTAGTAAACATATGGGGGGGGGGGAGAAACAATATTTACAATTACAATTTTTACTCAGAAAGATATATTTATGCAAAATTGACTGATTTGTATGGACTGTATCACAAAATAATGTGATAATAAATGTGTTGAAAGTGAAAGAACTCTTTGGAGAAAAAAAACACCTGAAATAGTTAGATGTTGTATTTTTTTGTAGGTTCACCTGTTTTGACTGGCACAACTACTCTTACCATCATGGTTCTAAACAGCAATGATAAGGATCCATACTTTGATCCTGCAACACAGAGGGCAGAGGTAAGACTTGACCAAATAGAACAAAGCCTTGAACTGTTGTCAGTGTCTGTCTTAACAGATTTTGTTGTTACACTTGCACAGAGATGTATATGTTCTCTATTCCCCATTAAGTTTCATATGCATGATTGAAAGAATAAGTTATTATATACCTGGGGCCAGATTTATGGAAGAATGACATGGGTGGTAATCCCTGGGCCTCCAAAAAAGAGAAATAGAACCCATAGATTTCAATGAGGTATTTGCTTTTTCAAAATCACAAGAAGCTAATTTGTATTTTTAGTTGTTATAGGAAACAAGAATAAAAATAAAAAGAATATGCCATAACCTAAATTTGTTGTTACTGATAGGGACCTCTACAGTCTGATCTTCCTTGTAAATCTATTTCTTCTTATAACTTTATAATTATCAAAATTGGTTGAAATGAATATTGATTCTAATTTTGAAGGAAATTTATGGAACAAGAATTCTCCTAAAGCCATCTTATAGTTAACAGAAGAAAGTTTAACTGTGGAAGTCATTATCTGAATCAGGAAGGTAATTGAGATAACTTTTTTAACTTGAGTGCAGTCTGTGAAAATAAATTGTAAAAGGGAAACATTATCATTGTTATGAATGACATTGTTCTTAAATGTTCTACTCTGTTTATGTCAATCATGGATATTGAGGAATTGTTATAAGGCTGTAGATATTGTAGGTGTTTCAAATCTCAAACTCAGCATTATATGCAGAGGAAAGTGGAATTTATGCCCCCCACACATCCCCTCATACTTTCAACTCCTCTCAGTTGAGATTTCCAGCATTTACTCACACACAATCCTTTCCAAAACATAATGCAGTCCTCAAGAGAGGACCTGATAATCTGTCAGAAAGGTACTAGACTCTAATGACAGATCCATCTTGATTCCATGGCAATGTTAAAATTGTGTGGAACACCAGATTTCCATTGTGGTTTGCATCCCCTCACCTGCTGGCACCTGTGTTTATTTAATATAATCTTGCCTCTGGGTGCTACTATCTCGGTGGTAGGATATTTCTTTACTTAACTGATACTCTATTAGCTTCTTAAGAAGGAGTTATCCTCATTGAGCTAGTCATATTTTTTGAATGGTGGATGTAATGATTTCGTTTCAAAATGTTCCTCATTCTTAGGTACAAGAAGATTCCTCTCCAGGAACTATCTTCTATACCCTGAAGGCCAAGGATCCTGATATGAATGGTACAGATGGACTTACTTTTGCTGCTGCAGAACCAATAACAGCTGTTGACAAAAATGGGAAACAAATCACTGACACTGAGGAATTTAAGGTATAATAATGATCTTTATAGTACTTTATTATTTTGTGAAGGATTTTAATGTTATTATTATTGAATTGAATTATTATTACCACCAGACTAAAAGTAGTTTTACATTGAAATTATAAATCCAGAATATGATTCTTTTATATGTGTTGATGTGTAGAGTTTCTTTGCTGTGGATCAAACCTCTGGTGAAGTGACTGTGATGAGAGAATTAGACAGAGACATTGCAGCCGTCGTCCGCATTACTGTTCTAGTTATTGATACTACAGCTCCTACCACTCAGCAAGGAAAAGGTATTTTATATTTTCATTTATCTTTCCTACTTTCTGCCTTTAGTTTTATAAGAATTTTAACCAAAAGTATATTGTACTTCTTTTGGCTTATTTTGGACTTCACACATCGTCTGGTATGTAAAAGACAAAAGACCATGACGTTTTGGAGACAGATCCAGTCTCCGAAACGTCATGGTCTTTTGTCTTTTACATACCAGACGATGGGTGAAGTCCAAAAATAAGCCAAAAGAAGTACAGTATACACCATCGTCAGAATCCTTTCAAGTCTAACCAAAAGTATATTCTTCGCCATATTCCTGGTCAGTATAATGGTACTGACCAAGTTTAACATAATAAGACTACAGTCTTCTGTGATGTGGCATCATGTTGCCTAGTAAATGGCTACCAACTTTTAGGGTAATATCATTGTGTTAAATTGTATATTAAAAAAATGTGAAATTGTTAATTGAATATATGATCAAATTGTGTAAAAGAGCAAGTTTTGGTAAAAGTTACATTAAAACTTTTGGTTATGTTACTAGACAGTTTAATTAGTATTTTTATTTGTTATGGTTAATAACTACAATCTGATGCTGGTGGAATTCAGTATTATCTCACTATGCTTTTTTTACAAACATCTGAAGATATTTTGCTCATTGTATTTCATTGTTAGTGAATTTATTACCGCTTTTTATTTTTTCTTTATTATAGGCATATTGGTTGTCACTATTATTGATGTAAATGATTTCCCTCCAACATTTGCAAGACCATGGACAGCAGAAAATCCTCGTTACATGTTGGATATACTTGAAGAGCAACCAATTGGGACCATAGTCGATACATTTGTTGCCTCAGATGTTGATTCTAATATTGCAGCTTATGCCATAGATCCAGCTAGTGAATACTTTGAGATTAACAATGTAACAGGTAAATAATAATTTATTTTATTTATGAAGTAGATGTGTATGTTATCAAAGACCAAACTTCAAAATTGAACATAGAGATTATATTTATTCTGACAGTAATTCAGAGGATGAAAATGAAAAAATTTTTAGAAGTAACAGCACCATTTATTGTGAAGTTAGTTCAGTAATGGAGCATTTGACTTGTACTTGATGGTAATTTGAATCAAATATCAGGCAGTATGCGGTTTTTCTCATTCTTTGCAGGTATATGCTGGGATAATATCTTGATAGAAAAACGGTTAAACTTCATCTACTTTCCCTTTCGTCATTGTTACATGGGAGATTTGCAAAACAATTGAAACGTCTGCCTAAGGTGTAAGATTGAAGGAATATACAAATATTAAACCGCCATAATTTAAAAAAATAGAACCAGGAATGAGCAAATAAAGGGCACATCAATTTATACTTATTTTTATATGGTTTGTCTATCTTCTAGTATTCCGAATAGAACACAATATTTTGGAAACTGGATCTGTTTCCTTCCTTAAACAGAAAGTGGGGAAGCAACTGCTCAGGTGGGCCCTTAGAGACAGCTAATCCAGTGAGACTCAGTGATTTCTAATGAGTACTCCTGAGTATGTTCTTCCACACTTTTTCATCCAAGGCTAGAAACATATGCAGTTTGTGAAACATCCATGTTCTGTTTGGAATACTATATCATGCACAAAGTGGTTGTTTGGTTTCTAATACTGCGTTTTGACAGTTAAGTTACTTGTGTTTTTAACCTCAGCTGGTTGGCATATTTGTAACTCATTTTCTATTTGGACACCACTTGGACAAATTACATTTTCCAGCATACTTTAACTGGGTGAAGTGATTTCAAGTTGTTCCAACTCTTGTCCATCAGAAGTCATGTGACCACGGCAACTTTGAGGAACAGAATATCGAACTTTGTGGGTGACTAAAATGGCAACCATGTGAAACTTTACTGAAACTTAAGAAAAGAAAAATTTGTCTTCTAAAAGCAGCTTAACTCAATTTATTCTTGGATGTGAAATGAATATTATTGATTTATATTGAAATAAGCATATTTTAGTTTAAATATATTTGAACTTTATGACCATTCTATATAATGATGATATTACATAGGACAGTCCATGAGTCACACTCAGAGGCATAAGAATCCTTGGAAGATAAAATGTTTTCCCATTACTTTTTCCCCTAAAAATATGTTTGTCAATATTCTTACGTTCAATTTTAGCCTCAAGGTCGAAACATACAATGCACATGCAGATGTGCAACTTTTTAGAAGTTTGCTGGAGTATTTTTTTTTCTGATACCTGCATTGGCTGAAGAAAGTCCTACATATTGCGACACAGATAAAGTCCGACTAACACAAAACAAAGTTTTTGTGTCTCAGAATTACTACATTCATGTTGCAGGTGTAGTTCGAACCAAGAAGAGAATTGACTATGAGGCTGTGAAGAAACTTAACTTCACAGTTGTTGCTTATGATTCAGGAATTCCCCAGAAGTCAGCGACTGCTTATGTGACAGTGAATATCATAAACATCAATGATATGGATCCCGTCTTTAATGAGGTATGTTTCTGAATCAATTGGATGATCCCCATGTACAGGTATCATTATGGTGCACTGAAAATGGAGGCACCAAGTTTCTCCAAAACACTCATAAATACCTACCACACTATGGGTTGTTACATTCCAGAAGACAAGTCATCTTCAGCATGTTAGCTGTGCAGCGTAATTTGAAGTGATGGTAATTCATGAATCATCATAAGCTGACCTCTAAATCTGCCATGCTTCATACGTGTACATGTCTTCTTGTAATGGGAGTGACATTAAAAACAATAAGGCCTACTATATGGAACTCTGAAGAAAACCATGTACTTTTAATACTGTTCATAGATTCTAAAGGGTTCTGATGGTTGTGTATGACAATTTGGATTACTGGGTTTGTGAACTTGTCCATTGCCCAGTATTCCAAAGAACACAACATTTCGGAATCTGGATCTGTTTCTGTCTTCAGGGGAGAGGATGGGAGGCATGCACTCTTTTGGTTTCATTAGATAGAGCTAACCTCAGTCACTGGGCTTGCTTTATGGAATATAAAACAATAAAATGGTGACAGATCATAAATATACCTGGAAGTTAAGTAAGAGGCAGTTATTGTGTGTTAAAATGTTGAACATGTTAAAGGTGTAAAACTTCGGGGTTATGTATAACAATCTTCAGATAGTTTAAAATTGTCCTAAAAGATGCATCACTAAATTGACTTTTTTATCACTTATTGACTTGTTCTATATCTGAGGCAGATGCCTCTATGGATTTTTTTGGAACTATAAATAAATGAATGAATGAATGAATGAATGAATGAACTAAATTGAATTATTCCCATACACAGAATTTTACTTTGATGTCTTCTGATGAAATCTCAGTTTTACTTGTAGTTTTTTAATTATTTGCTAAACATTTTAGAAAGCTTTCAGTATATGTCACAGACTGACAATTATGGTATAACAGTAATTCTTTGTAAATGTTTCAGACAATGTATGAAGCAGCTATAACTGAGAATGCTCCAGAGAAAGCACATGTAATAACAGTGAAAGCGACAGATGGTGATGAGGGTGTCTTCGGATCTGTGTCATACAGCCTTGTTGGAGAACACAGCTCTGATTTTAGCGTAAACTACAAAACAGGAGAGGTCACAGTTGCCAATCCTGCTGTGCTTGATAGAGAAACCACTCCTGACATCACCATCCAGGTCATGGCTAGTGATGGTGCCCCTCCAGAGACAAGAAGAACTGTTGCTATTCCAGTAAGTGAACACATTCACAGCCTAGTAATGACATGTTTGCCTGTATGTTTGCACCCATCAGTCAATTTTCAGTGAGATGACAACAGAATCCAGTAATCATGCAGATGTTAATCCAGAAAATTAATTAAGTGTATTGTCTGGTATCCAGAAATCCAGCTGTTTTCAAACTGATAGGTTGTTTGCTGCCTGGTGCTTTATTTGAATGGCACACAGTCATCATCAGTTAAGACTTACACTTCTATGTTTACACTAGATTTGTTTCTCTGTGATTATTACAGTTATTTACCCATATTTTTTAATTTCAAAGATATCTAAAAGACCAGGTGGGAGTCCAGTTACTACTGAAGGGGCTGAGAGAAAGTAACTTCCACAAATTATAAAGAAGAAGGTAGAGTTACTTAATAAATTATAGGGAGGTGGGTCTGTTAAACGATTAAGTGAAGAGTTTGGGGGATATGTCTACTGCATATGATCTTAAGAAATAAAAGGGATAATTAGTTTAATTTTATATGGTGTTACCGTCCCCTCTTTCTTCCTTTTTACTTATATGCCGGCTTCGATAGACCACTTGATCATGTTATAGCAATAACTGAGGCAACTGGAAACTGCACACTTGAAGCCAGTCCACAGATCATCAACAAAAGGCAGTATGTTTAATTCACTGTCATTTATACATTATAACGACTGAGATTATTTTATAGATTGATTCTAATTCAGCTAGTTTGAGGTCTTAACCTTTTCTGGCCATGCATTACACTATTGTAACAGCACATGTATGTGTTCCAACTGCTTTTTCAGAACTAATACTGTTTCCCCCGAGTTAAAATCGAGCCACCAGCCCTGTGGTATGAGGGTATTTAAAATCCCCTGTTTCTGGATGACAAGGGTTCAAGACTAAACTGTTGTCACTTTGCAGATACATATTCGCTTGAGAGATGCCAATGATAATGCTCCTGTATTCAGTCAGAAAAGATATCAAGCCTCAGTTATGGAGAATCTGCGCCTGGATCCTCCAGCACCAATAGTAAAAGTTCATGCTGAAGATCTGGATGAGGGAAAGAATGGTGCAGTGAGGTACTCCATAATATCTGGCAATGATGGTGGTGAGTACACATATTGTATACAATTATACAATATTTTAGCCTACTTTCCTTATTTAGAAAAACTAAAAGGAAAATTATGAGATCTCCTTGCTGTCTGCATGTCTGTGCCCCCCACAATAGGTGCTAGGCCATGGCTCAGTACACATGCTCATGTACAAAAGAATATTGACGTAGTAGAAGAACTGTTGGATACAATGTTTTCCATGTGGTCCATGTCATATGAAAAACTCAACATACTGTGAAACAACAGTAGGCGACTAGTTCTTCCCAGACTGTTGGTGTTCAAAGACTCAGTGCTTATGAGAATATTTGGACATACGAAGAAGGAAGCAACAGGAATCTGGAGAAAACTGTATAATGAGGAGCTTCATGGTATGTACTTCTTACCATATATTACTAATGTGATCAAATAAAGTCTAATGGGATTGGGCACGTAGCATGAGTTGGATAGAAGAGAAATGCATACAGGATTTTAGTAGGAAAATCTTAAGGAAAGGGTACACTTGGAAGACATAGACCTGGATAGTAAAATAATATTAGGTGGGAGATTTTAGGCTAGATTCATCTGGCACAGGATGGGGACCATTGGCAGGTGTTTCTGAATGTTGTAATGAACCTTCAGGTTCTATAATATGCTGCAAATTACTTGACTAGATGAACAACTGTTAGCTATTTAAGAAGGACTCTGCACTGTTTAGTTTGCTCATGCACTACTGCTGATGATATACATAACCACATTCCACTACTCAGAACTGTAATATTAAACTTTGACACATCCCATTCTTCATTGTTTCCTGTAATGATACATACAGTCAGCAGTGGACCATTAGTTGTGAACTGTGTTCTAAATACTGTGGAGAGGTGCTTCCTTTTCTTCCATCACCATTGGGCCTTAAATTACTGGAAATTGAATTCTGAAGTTGTATATCTAAACTGTTATGGTCTCTGCAAAATAGCCAGTCTATAAGCTTATTATGTCTCATTCTGAATGTGGTAACATGTTGTCAGTCCAAATTTTGACAGAATTATCCAACTTCTCTTTCCTTTTGTGTTTTGATTCAACTGAAATACAATTTTGAAGGATGTATGGATGTATGAGTAGTTGTACGAGGGTGTGCACTCACATTGAATTTCAATACAGTGATAGCCTGAACATTTTAACTTATATTAGGAAGGAATACAAGTTTGTCACATTTAGAAGTCTTGCTAAGCCTACTTATTTTTATCAGCCACTCTTTTATAACATTGGTTATTACATAAAATTTAGGGCTGGGATGACACAGTAATGGAATTTTACATGCAACTTTGCTTTACTTATTTGCCCCTTCATTCTGTGTTCCTCTTAGAATCCTGGCTTCCTTTATGATGGGTGCCCATTCTTTCCCCATCTGGCATCTATCGTTAGGTTCATTGGCATATAACATTTTCTGAGGTGAGGTTAGCATCATGCCCAACTAATAACCTGGAGAACCAGGGCCTACCTTTCATGTGGCCCCTACCATTTAACTTGTCTGGCATAGGTGATCCTACCAAGAGATTATTTTTCTGCTAACATAACTCTCTAGGCAATCAACAGCTGCAAACCTCCCACCATGTTAAGGTAGTGGCCCAAGGGGAGGACCCAACTTTACCACTTGATTAAAATAATAAATGTATCTGACATCAAGACTGTAGTTTTTTGGTATGTGCTGCCATTTAGTTTGATAGGGTTTATCTTTATTTCCCTTCTTTTCAAACCTTCCTTCTGCTGTACTTAATTTTTTCCACTTTGGCATCCACTCTTATGTAGGTGGGGTAGCTCAGTTGGTATAGTGATGGGCTATGGGTTGAGGTTTGAGTCTTGGCAGGTCCATGAGACTTTTCTTTTATCCACTGTGTTCAGACTGGCTCTGGAGTCAGCCCAGCATCCTGTCCAATGGGTAACAAGAGTTTTTTCTCTAAGGGTAAAGCAGCTGGTGTGTGTGAAGCTGACTGCTCACCTCCATTTAGTGTTGAGGTCAAGAATAGTGGAGCTATACTTCCATTCTCCCATGTGCCTTTATACCATGGTGATTAATTAATTAAGTACATGAACAGATTTATGTTTTTACATCTACAATTCGCTTAGAGGGGGGTGCAGTCCAACTGGGTCCACTCGGCACAGCGGCCACTGATTGGCCTATTGTAGCCTGCCCTGGCTGATTATGATGATGGAGAATTTGGTGGAATGAAGATTGGCAGGGGAAACTGAAGTAGTCAGAGAAAACCCATCCCAACGCCACTTTGTCCACCACAAATCCCACTTGACCAGACCCGGGATAGAGCCCGGGCCGCTGCGGTGGGAAGCCAGCGACTAACCACTTGAGCTATGGCGCGGCCTACATCTACAGTTACAGTCATGGTTGCTGATTTCTGTTGGTCTGCTCATATCTCTGGTCCCAGCCCATCCATATCCATAGTACTTTTCCCCTCCTTGGCTCACTGTTCTATCCTGGAAACTCAGGTAGCAGGTTCCTCTGAAACACTGGCACTTATCTACATGGCATCACATCCCAGAAGACCATAAACTTGATGCTCACAGCTGTGAGACTTTCAGATCTGACAAAAATACTAGACCTATTTTTTTTTGCAATTGTTATCTCTGCTACAGGGGTGTTTAAACTGGAACCTGAAACTGGAATTTTGTATCCAGCTGAGTCATTAGAAGGAAAATCAAGAGAGTTCCATCTGGTGGTGGAAGGGAGAGATGAAGAAGGGAATGGTCCACATGCTGATACAACGACCATTGATATTGAAATCCGTGATGTGAACCAGAACAAACCAGTGTTTATCATGCCTTCACTGCCCAATGCAACTATAGAAGTCCCTGAGGTATGTTACTATCTTCTACAAAATGTTTTAACAGAAGGCATTATTGGTGCCTGCAAGATATATTAGTTGAGTCAGTTATGCGAATGGTTATGGAAATTAAGTTCAGGGTTAAATTATTTATTATGTGCTGAATGGTATGGATTTACTTCATCATATGACAAAGCTCGATAAGAGACTATCCTTATTACTAAAGCATCCGTCAATAATCCAACAATTTTTTTTTAATATAAAACATCTCTAACATATTTTTCTCACTAAAAGTGCAACTTTAATACTTTATAATGTTGTTAAAATCATAAAATTTCATTAAGACCCTGAATGTATAACTTATATACTAAAAGTGATTATCCATTTACTAAAATGTCTTTAGTTTTACATATGTTTCTTCTCACTTTACAACGTGTTTCAGCCACACATGGGCCATCATCAGGCAATTTTCCTTTTGTTAATATCAGTAAGAGAATTTTCCTTACTTCAAATGTTCTGACTTGCCTTAGAAGAATAAACCAAAGAATGGAACATATATAGTCTGTTGTGAATTACAAATCTTTTCCTGATGACTTCTTTGTGAGTTTATAAATTTTATTAGCCTGAATACTAATTTTCTGCACATGCTGTGAACTGTACACTACCTGCAGTAATGGAGGGAGAAGAAGTGGGGATATTTAAAAACAATGGTTAATCCAAGAATCTGGAAATACCCACTATACATGCTGCGTTCAACCTTGAAAATCAATTAATCGTTACTTACTGAATGTGTTACTGGTCACTAAACAGTGGCACAATTATCTTCCCAGTGGAAGCAAGCAACATTAGGAAGTCTACTGAAAATTCTTGTGAATTGTCACTTATACCGTATTAATGCACCCAATTGGCAACACTTCAGTTTTTATGCTGATATTTCTAAAAGAATAGCAATTAATCCACAAAGAAGATAACCTACATGCAGGTACTTGAGAGTGTTTTATTTATATTTTTATGTATAGATTTTATTTTTATTTATATGGGTCATATTCCATTAATTGAATTTAGAAACAACTTTAATTTTAATTTAAATTGGAAGAAATGCGGTTCCAATAGTACTGCATTTTGGAAATAGGACGCTGCACATAACATCCTTTTTCTGAACTTAGAGTGGGGGTTTTTTCACTGAAAAGTTTTGAATATTCCCAAATAAGATAAACAGTCATAGAATTGACTGTGGAATAATTATTCATATTCTGTATATTGGGAATGTTTTTCTTTATACTTCTGATTTTGGCCCTTGGATCTTAAGATGCTCCATGACCCTGATCTATAAAATCAATATATTGTCCCAAATAAGAAAAATGGTAAGGCTATCCTTGTAACAGTCTGTGAAGGCACATAGAGTTGTGAGACATCAAGGCTCCCACATTTTCTAGTAAGTCAGCTCACAGGTAGTGGTAAGGTTGTCAGCCATATGCACCAGCCACCTTTTAACCCCCAAGAAGATTCCTGGCACTCATTCCTGTTAGAGGCTGGGTTGACCCCAGGGCCATAGTGCAGCTGGAAGGGTTAGGTAAATTGAAAAATCCAGTAACCTCATCTGGATTTTAACCTGCAGCAATCCAGCTAGTAGCAGAGTGCCCCAACCAAGTACACTACAACATGCCCCCATTGTCTCAAATATATGGTATGATAATGTTCTTGTCTGTTACAGAATGGAGGCCTTCCCAATTTCCTGGTAATTACTGTCAAAGCAACAGATAAGGACCAAGGGGAGAATGGTCAGATCAGTTACCATTTCAAAGTTGATAATGAGAATGTTCAAGAAACAGAAGAGTTTGCCATCAATGCTGATACAGGGGAACTAAGAGCAAAGATCATTCTTGACAGGGAAGTTCGGGCAAAATATGAGGTATGTTGACACAGCTGAATTCACCTTTTCATCGTATATCAGCAGGCTTGTTAATGAAGCCATTGAAGTCAGCCTATATCAGAACTTCAGCAGGGAAGATCAGCACAGGTTGGAGAACCGTCATCCATATTCTAAGAGAACAGTGAACATTTTTCAGCCTTACATACCCTACAGGCATCTGAGATATCTCTTTGCATTTGATCTAGCCCTTTCTGGGACTATAATTTTTTTACTATTTTTTCCTCCATTTTCTGTTTTCCCTTAAAATTTTTTTATTCCAAATCTCACAGAACCATATTCTCCATACATATTTCCCCCTGTCCCAAATATTCCAATCATTTACACCCAGCAAACAAAGTGACTCTTCTATGGCCTGTCTTTCTGTTTCATTGCTATTGGCTATCACGTGATAATCTAATGGTGGACTTAACTGCTACTACTGGCAGAGGACATTTGGTAGTCATTTGCCCTTGTAGATGGTGAGAGTACAAATGACTGATTATCTCCTCCTCCCCCCTCCTCCTCCTCTGTGGCTTCTTCTTATTCTTTTTGCATCACTGTTTTACTTTTATATGATTTGATGGTCTCAATTCTTTTCATCTCATAATATTCCTTTTCAATTTCTTGCCAGCTCTTTTGTTTCTTCTTGATGTTTACTTGCATCTGGCTAGTCTGTCTTATTTTGGGTCATCCCAGGTCACTAATGACTAATTTTAATGCCAATGGCTTCCTCATTATTCTTGTTCTATCCATAATATTTAGATGGTCAAATTTTTGTAATTATTTCTCTCTTTGCAGTATCAAAAATTCCGAATTCTAACTGCATCTCTCAAATTTATCTTCCAATTCTAAAAATTTCTGTTTTTCTTTTGATGCTTCTCAAACATGTCATATTCATTGCTCATATTTTTCAAGTTAATGGATAACAGAAGTGACAGACCAACACTAAAGGACTCTTAGCTGCATATACTCATTTCATTTCATTTCATTCATTTACACAGAAGGAGAAACTCATGACACATGTGAGAAACAGTTGGTAATATAGTTGAGGAAAGAAGTGAAAGAGCAGTTAGGTAGAATGGAGGAAGATTTTTGGCCATAAATAACATGGAATTACCAACCCATAGGACAAACAGTAAGAGAAATACCAAAATGATAATATAAAAATTGTTTTCAAACTGGTGCAGACATTAACTTAACATAATATGAAACTATAAGTGTAATATAGTGTATTTTTAGTTACTTTGCATGCTTTGATTTAATCTTCAGTTCTGTGTGAAACAGTAATTCAATATATATTTGAATATAAAAAACCCCTACTGGATGTTGCAGGTGGTCATCTTTTCACTCTTATGTTCTGTAAAATATTGTAATTCTCTTTGTTTTGACAGTTGGTGCTTGTTGCAAGGGATCATGGAACTCCCATCTCACATGAGACACTTCGCTTCCTCACAATTCTGCTTGTAGACACAAATGACAACAGACCTGAATTTCCAATAACTGAAACTACTAATCCTTACATATTCCGTGTCACAGAAAATTCACAAACGAATCTCCTTGTAGGTATGTATATGAATGAATTCAATGAATTCAGATACAAATTTATAGTAGAAGGTGAAGTTCTGTTCATGCTTAATTAAATGTCACATCATGAAGATAAATGGGGAACGGAGGTCTAGCACTTCACATTCTCACCCTTGGTAGCCCCAGAGCTTCTCTGGAGGTGACAAAGTTGTCCAGCCAATAGCCTAGCTGGTATACTAAGATATCCAGCTCACATAATTTAATAGTTCTGTACAAAAACTGTAATTAATTATAGGCGAGCTAGTGAAACATTAAAAAAAAACCTCTGTAGTCTGTAGTCTGCAAGTGAACTATACTGACCGAGCGACCACCACTTGTCGGCAAAGTTAGTGCCAACTTTAGTAGATAGAGAGTGTCGCGCAGTACACCACAAATCCCCACAGCCGTTAATCTCGGTTTTCTAGACTGGAGCCTCTATTTCCTTGAAATAGCTCCTCGATTATTCTCACAAGCCTGAGTGGACCCTGTTCTAGATGCACTACTTCTCAGAAAACCGAACCCGGGACCTCTGTATCTGTAGCCAGGAACTCTGATCATGAGACCACAGAGGCGGTCAGTGGAACATTCATACTTTTAAAATTTATAGACAGATTTGATTTCTTTTAACACATTGCGGACTGGTGGTTTAAACATTTAAATCACCCTGGGGACTGGCGTTTTTAAACCTACTACCCTAACTTGTGCACTGTTCACTTTAAAAATTAATATAAAATCTCCTAATTAATTTTATGAACTGAAATTTTTGGAGAACACTTACCAGAGCTCCTAGAAGTGCTTGCGCATGTGATATCTCTGGAAACATTCCCCTTTGTGAAGAGGCATTATGCAGAAGTTGCACATGTAGACAGTTCTACTCTTCTTCTTGTGCTCTGCACGCACACGGCACTGCCTAGAAGGGTGTTTCTTCTTGCAATATTCACTCTTCACAATTTTCACGAGAATATCTTTCCGCATATCACCCGAGAGTCGTCCAGGGGGGTCTACTTGATGCCTCTGGCGGGTGCAAACAGATGGCCCCGGCTGCACTACGTCTGTGTCTGACGCAGGTACTGCTGCCACCGTGACATCAGTAGCCCAAGCTTTTGCCAGTTTCAACAGAAATGATTTGTATTTCAAAGTAGAATTTCTGTTCACCTTTTTGAAAACCGTAAATGAATTGAAAATTGCACAGTTTATAAGCCACAGTGCAGCTTTCTTCATCCATTTTACTGTTTTCCTAGGAAGGGAATAATAGGA